GATATTGGCACCTGGATGGGGTAGGGGTCTCTGGGGTCTCTCCTTTATTATTTTTAAAGAAAAGTAACGTGGTGTTGACTAACATGTACCAGGGTCCAGGGCACCAACAATGACAACATTGCTCTGTGCATCCTCGAAAGACGAAAGGAGGGCGTCGGCATCTATGGTTTGCTTCACTCTCTTCGTAGTTCCACAATTTCACGTGGATATTTTTTTTTCCTTGTTCGTTGTACTTCCTTTTAACTTTGGAATTTTCTTGTGAGTGGAGTGGAGCAACAATTTGGCACTTAGAGTTGATCACCGTAATTATTGATAAGATTGGGGTGGGGAGAGGTTGGATATGGCAGGAGAAGAGATTAAACAAATGTTAATAACAACAAATAACAATTTCAGTTGTAATATCATATATACCTTGGATTCTCTATTTCTCTTACTTTCGCTCCTACCTATGGACTTGTCTCTTTGACGTCGTCTTCACTCTTCACTTTTGTGATTGTCATCGCTTGAGATTTTTTTGAGAAATAATGTCAATTTATTGGGCTCGAGGAAATTTTGCAGTGGCAAGGAACTTACAAGTGAATGGAATACTATGCAACGATATGACATTTAGGGACTGATGCGATGCCATATAATTCGACTGAGATTAAATGGCAGTAGTTGGTCAAAAACGATGGCTTGCCAATTGGTATGTTTACCGGACGTGAAGGAGCTTGAAGGTCGTTGGGGTTCGTATGCTGCCGACTGCGTGCCTTTCTTTGAGGTGATTTCGTTTGTGCAATGGCCCTTTGCAGTTTGCATTTTGCAACGCTTGGTCGACTTGGGCGAGTTGGGGGGTTAAGGGGAAGGGGAATTGGCTACCCCCGGTGGTGTAGTCCCACCACCCACCCAATTCATGAATTTGGTAAGTGAGATAGAAATAGAATGTCCTATGCAAACAAGCACTATGATTAGAGGTTCAACACATATCGGCCTATGTATCCGGGACCTCTCTGATACGCCTCTATAGTGGATGTACCGGAGGTTTGACTGTTTCAGGAGGTGGAGGAACTCTAAACTGGCCCCCTGAACTGGTTTTGAAAAAAAATAATAATAATAAAAAAAAGGCATCGATATCGCCCAGTACGCCCAGGTATCGATTGAACCTACTATGATTATAGGTCGGGCTGAGGATTCCATGGGATATCTACCATTATATGCTTATTGTGTTATAGACTCCCCAATGCTAGCAACTCCCACAATCCATGATTCTCTCAACCGACAAGAGACAATCCCCCTCAACATGGGCCCACTTCACTACAAAATTTCCCAATATTTGTAAAAGCGAGTAGGGTGGGGAACGTTTCTACTCGAAAAAATAAAATAATGGGATGTCAAGTGGGATAAAACTATATGTGAATGGCAAATGCAAATCTAATTTCTCTTTTCTGAGTCTCGTTAATAGGATGTTAAGTGGGATAAAACTTTGGCTGTAATATCCTATGCAGATGGGAGCCTTGTTGGGCTTGGTCGGACTTGGATGTGCGACTTGGGAGGGCCCAACTTGAATTTTTGGGCTGCAAGCTGGGTCTAGGCCATAAAACTCATCTCTAAGCCTGAAGTTGAGTTGGGTTTGGGTTGAGACCTTAGTGGCCCAAGCCCACTTGACAACCCAAGCCTGCCTGAAATTTTACATAAATTTAAGTATTATATTTACATTGTTTTCATCCAATAAACAAAAAAGAAAAAAAGAAAAGGATGACATGAGAGAAGAAAATAAGTGTTTAGGGAACCAAAAGAATAGGCTGGTAGCGCCCTTTCTTTTATTTATAGGGTGATAAAAAAATAAAAATGATAAATTACAATATGGCCCTTGATGGCACATTAATGAAAAACAAATAAAAGAAAATGTTGACAACACAGTAATAGTAAGAAACTAACAACGAACTAATGGTGACTAAACACTCCCCCTCAAGTTGGGTTGTATGTATCAATCATACTAATCGTATTCAACTTGTCACATAGCATGTTGTGTTGCAAACATGGAAGTACTTTGGTGAGAATATTAGCAAGTTGCTCTTTGTATTAATATAAGGAGTACAGAGTTCACTCCTATCACGCTTTTCTCTTATGAAAAAACTTGTATACCTCAATGGAGGGACATATGGTTTTCAACATTAAACCTAAGCTACCCTAATAAATTTTCAACCAAAATACTTCATCAATCTTCTGTAATAACTCTATGCTCAATCACAATACTTGACCTTGCAACCACACTTTATTTCTTACCTCTCCATGTCACTAGATTTTCATTGGTCGATATTCTATCATTTACAACATTCACCTGGTCCACATATGTATACACTTCCACTTTCAGATGGTTATGTTTATTGAATAGCAAATCAACCCTTACAAATATCCTATGAATCCTCTCAACAGTCTTGAAGTGTGGTACTTTAAGGGACTACATGAATTGACTTTGAACCCTAATACCACAAACAATATTGATACGTGACATGGAAATATATAACAATCTTCTCTCTAACCTTTGGAATGGTTTTTCATTTTTTTTTTTAAGTTTTTTCCATCACAATCACCTAGTTTACGATTAACATTAATAGAAAATACCATCCCACTCTACACCCAACTTGTCAATGTCTTCCAATAGATCCACGATGCATTTCTTTTAAGAGATAAATATACTTTTTTAGTGGACAATTTTGATCCCAAGGAAATACTTTAGAGGCCTTGGATTGTTCACATAAAATTTGATGGTTAATATCTCTTTTGACCTGTATACCTATGATGATATCATCCACATATACTATTAACATTGCAACATGCCCTCAACACCTCTTAACAAAGAAAGTTATGAATCTAGCATTACATGAACCATACTTGTTGAGCGGCCATATAAAACTTACTAAACAATGTTCTGGGAAGTTGTTTTAAGCCATAAAAGGACTTCCTCAACCTATACACTTTATTTTCATGAATTTATGAAAAAAAAAAACAATGGTACACATATAGGGTCGGGTTGATAAACTTGGCCTTAACCTCAAATTGGACCAGGCCCACACCCAAGCCCAAAGTTTGCACCCATAGGGCCATTGGGTTGGGTATGGCCCATATCATATGGGTTGACCTTCAACCCAATCCAACTAACTTGAGTTGCATCCCTTTAACACGAATCACACAATACATTAACCCATTAAGGCATTCAGTTCCCTGTACATCAAAATATTAGAATTTAGATTAGTTGAACACTTTGGCTGTTTAGTGGACTGTGGAATCAATGATGAGGTTAACAGCCCGCTGATCAGCTAAAACCTTCAGTATCAAGTCTGGATCTGCTCCTCACACAGAGCGTGCCTCACACACAGACCTCATAGGATGTTTCTACCGCAGAACACGGGAATATTTCATATACTTTTATTTAAATCTATGGAGAGATGTTTCCAATATACGGTGCCGGTGGGATGTAACTGTGAGATCGGTGTGAGGCGCGCTTTGTCTGGAGCAGATTCCAACTCTTCGGTGTCAACTATCAACCCAACTCATTCAGTCCCTTACAACTCGTTGGAGACTTTTTATTAGCAAGCTGGCCCTTGTAAGGTACGTGGGGATGAGACCCGATCTCTTTCAGGTAAAAATCCTGCGCATATAATATCCAACCGAACATTACGGATATTTCTCGTACATGCATTTGGGAGATATTCATAAGGTACGGTTGGATATTTATGCTTCCAAGATGGGTCCACAGTTTTGATGGCCTTCAATGTTTCCGATGCATGATATGATGTACGTGTGAGGCGTGAATGAGGCGCCCTGTGTGAGGAGCAGAACCGGTCTCTAAATCATAAGTCGAGGCAACCCCATGTCAAACTCCATCCCTTGACTTATCTAACAGTGTAACTATGAGTGCAGTTAAATTGAAAGGGTATTTACGTAAACTAATGGAAAAAATAGAATTTTCGTAGCTCTTGGTAGTCTCCGGGTAAAATGTTTTCAAAACCCTCGCTCGCCAAACTATTTTGTTTCCCTCTCTCTTTCTCCCTCCCTCTCCCCCCCCACACACCCTCTGTTTCGGCTGTTGTCGCGGCCTTTTCTCGAGGGATGCCAAGCAGTGCGACCCCCTGCTTCGACTTCAAAGATCCATTCACCGTCTCTTCATGCTGTTAGCTTCGTCTTCAATAGCGGTTTGAGGGTTTGCTTTCTTCTGTTGTTTATTATTATATAATATCTTCCCCTGCATTTTTATCTCATCTTCATCCCAACGGAGATGGTCTCTGGATCGCGTCCTGACGGTGGTACTCAAATTCTACCTGCTCGTGTGCGGAAAACAATCCAATCGATAAAAGAAATCGTCGGGAACCACTCGGAGGCCGATATTTACGTCATGCTCAAGGAGACCAACATGGACCCTAATGAGACGGCCCAGAAATTGCTAAATCAAGGTTTGTTTGTATCCATTCTAAGCATCTCTCACTTCTTGGTTTTATTTTTGGTGGATTTTACATGGAACCACGTTTAGTTTGGGGGTTGTTAGCATTTTGAGTGAAATGGATTTGCTTGTTTCTTGCCTGTGTCGTCGAATCCGGTGGTTAAGTTTCATTTTTAACAAGAACTTAGCACTTTGGCGTTCGGTCTACCTTGTGGATGTTTAAGAACTTTCGCAACCATGCGAGGGTTTGCTTGGAACTTGGAAGCTTTGGTTAATGAACTCCAACTTGTGGGTTTTGGAAGATTACATTTCTCAATAACGATGTGTTCAAACTGGCATTTTTCCCATATCATATATTTTGCTCCGTTGCCAGCATTGTAACCACATTGGTTTGTGTCAGCATTATAATTGCACTGGGATTATGCTGTATTTAATTGTACTTGTACTACAGTATCGTTGTAATTAATTCGTTTCTAATATAGTTGTCGCCTTGAGCACTTTTGTTTGACCAGTTAGCACGGGCCATTTTTGTGACGTACCAAGTCAAAAGCCTGCACACGTTTATTTTCGTATAAATTAACCCTTTATGTTTTTTTTTTTTAAGGCTAAATTAACCCTTTGTGTTTTGTTTATATGAAATTGTATTTGATATGATTTGACTAATTTTGTTAATACCCCACTTACACCCATAAAGTTACCTGTGTGGTGTGCGTGTTCTATACCACAAAACCAGCATGTGATGTCATATGTTTACATTCAATAATCCACTCTTCTCATGACCCAAGATACCTGTGACCAACATCGGGTAATGGCCTTCTTTAGGAGCTATTCCTTGGCGGAATGGTGAATTTTCAGGGGCTGATAGGAGGTTTGAGTTTGAGAGTGGCCACTTTGTGCCAAAAATATGAAAGGTTAGGTATGTATTTTCACTTCATCCTCCCAAGGCCCCAGATAATCCAGACTAAAGTGGAGTATTTTAAAACAGCAATGGGGGTATCATTTGGAAATTGGAAGTCTGAAAAATTGCCACTTATTTCTGAAACTAACTAGATATGTGGTTATTCTTCTTTTAGTGTGTTAGGTTACACTTTGATAGGCCCAGTTATATGAGTTTCTGGTAATTTTCCCTCATTAATAAGTGATTGAATCACCTCTCATTACGCATCAGTTGTTCACATTATCACATAATCATTTCTTTATTCTTTTGGCTTTTAAAAACTTTCCCAAAGACAAGAATACCCATTATATCCATGTTCAAAGAGAAGAAACTACAATTAGCACTAGACCTGTTCATGGGCTGGGCTCGGGCTTGGCTTTTGTCAAAATTTCTAATGGGCCCGGCCCGAAGCCCGAGCCCAAACCCAAGATAGTGTAAAGTTGAGCCCAAAGTGTGGCCCGTGAACAGGTCTAATTAGCACTTTTTTCAACAACTCTGACATGATAATACAGTTATCTTCAGCGAGACTGTTCAGACAAATAAATTCTTATCACGGAAAAGTCTGTTCAGAATTCAGAGACATCGGACTTTGGAGTTTCAAATGTCACGTTGAACACTCAGTAGGAACTCTGGCATGCATTTGGATACTTATTTGCTTGCCATAAAAATTAGCTTTTTATTGTCATTTCCTATCAGAAAAATTTCCTGTTACAGGTCCAACTAGAAAGGTTACTGTCTATTCTTTCTTTTGAAAAAAAGTATTTACTGTCTCTGTTTTCAGCTTTGAACCTGATTTATTCACACGAAACAGTGAATTTCATTGCATTTTGGTTATGGTTTTCCTAGCTATCTCTCTGTGACTCCAAATTTGACTTTTCTTTTAGAATCTTTTGGACTCCAAAGACGCAAACTGCATTTCCAAATATACACCAGATTTTATCCCAGAAAGTTGTGTACAAACAGTTTTCCAGAGGACATAGCTTTTGATAGAATGCAATCCAAGATGAAATTCTCAAGGTCTCTGATATTGACATACTTTCATTAATAGACTGCAGAGAATTTTCTCTTTCCAATATCTTTAGTTATCTTCTGTTTTGACAACTCTTTTCTTTAGAAGGAAAAAATAGAACAGCCTTTTGCTTTTGAAGATTGTTTAAAAGTTACTAAATGTTACTATCGATTCTATACAATGAGTCCTTGTAGATAGATTGATTGAAGTGTGAGTTGTTACATCTTTATGTTTATTTTTTTATTTGTGTGTGAAGCCTTCACTGAAGTGATAATGTGATATTATGGGTATTGGAAGGAAAGGTGGGGGTAAGGAAGGAAAAGGAAATTTTGGGTAATCAGAATTGCATGGATGTTGAGATGGTGATAACGTTGTTAGTGGGGGGAAGGGCAAGATGAGGCTGATGAGCAAGGAGGTGTCTAATCTCATGGCTTGAGATGTAGGGGAACCGGTGAAGAATAATTAGGAAGAATATAGGTGGCTTGATGTAGTCAAGAGGTAGCAGGAAATTAAAGAGAGGTGTTAAGAGTGACTGCCTATTTTGGTTGTGTGGACAGTTGTATTCAAGGGCTTCATTTGGGGGATGGTGTGAGTTTTGGTCTCTCCATTGGTTCTTTGTTGATAATTTTCACATTGTTTCTATTTATTAAAAAAAATCAAATTGTTTCTCCATGGGGTGGTCTTGCTGAGATGTTGATATTTGGGGCCTTGGCCTCTTGGGACTGTATTGGACCATTGTCTTTATTGGTACTGCAATTGGTATGAAAATGCGTCTTGGACTGGATTGCCCTTTTAGAGTTGCCACTTCTTTTTGCCTTGTTTTGGTAGACTCCATTTGGAGCCAAGAAGATTGTGGAAACAGTTCGTCCAATGAAAATATGTGAAAAATGGTTTGGATGGGACACGAGGAATAGCAATGCCACTTATAGGTGCACAATGTGGAGAGGAATCGATATATCCTATCAAATGTTCTTAAAAGGAATTAAATACCAAATTGGAAATGGCGTAATAGTTAGGATTTGGAAGGACATATGGCGTGGTAACTGCTCACTAATGGTGAAGTTCCTTTATTTTTGGAGGCCCATGTTGAGGATGCTATGGTGGCTGATTGGTCTTAGGTTCATATTATGAAGTCCACAGTTTAGAAGAAACATGAATGATTGGGAAGTTGAATCTTTATCTGTGATGCTTCACACAATTTAGAGGGTATTATACCAATCAATTGAGAACTGAGGAAGATAGAACGGTGTGAACGTGGGACAGATCAAGGACCTTTACTGTGCACTCCTTCAAAAAGATGAACAATGAAGTAGAAGTAGATGGTTCATTCCCCAGCTCAAAATTTGGTGTCCAGGAATGCCATCTAGGATATCATTTTTCACATTGGTTGGAGAAATGCCTAATGGATAATCATAGCAGTAGGAGAATGGTGCTAAACATAGGCAAGGTTCAAAGTATCGATACGCCTCTGTGTATCGGCAGAGGCGTATCGGTGCTTAGATACAAGCGGAAATGACTTTTTTTTTAGTTTTTTTTTTAAATTTGGTTTTTGGAAAGATATTTTAACATATTTTTTATTAAAAAAGAGTGGGGTCCCGAAACGCCTGTATTTAAAAAAGAGCGGGGTCCCGAAACACCTGTAAACAGGCGTTTCAGACCCCAAAAGATACGATAGGATACGCCTGATACGTGGCGTATCATATCAATTCTTTGAACTTTGAACATAGGCTACCAACATGATTTTTCTAGCTGAAGTTATATACCTGAATAGGTGAACTTGCCTGTGCTAATTTGTTTATGATATATTGTCTCTTTCTTTTTCTTTATGTTTACATAATTGTCTCTTACACTTTGTTGTGTTTTTTAGATCCATTTCATGAGGTGAAGAGAAGAAGGGACAAAAGGAAAGAGGTATGGCATATATAAATTGCTGAAGCACCATTGAACACATGTTTAACCCTTATCATATCGATCAAACTTCTAATTATCATTTATGTGTATTTGCATGATAGATGCTCATGGAAGTGACTGCTATCTATCTTTTTATTTAGGATTTTTGACTCTGACACCCCTTGATCTTTGTGAAAAGGCCACTTTTGACTCTAAAGATTCTAAAAGACCATTTTCATCCTCAAACTATGGTGAAAAGGCCACATTAAATTCAAAAGTGACGATTTCTCTAATGTCGTTGATGGGTTCCGTTAGATAAATAATAAAATGATAAGGTTTGTTGATGTGGCACTGCTCAATTTAAACAAAAATAATATGGCTCTTTTGACCTAGAATATATTACAGAAAATATGGAAAAAACACAAAAAAGAATAAAATCACTATTCACAGTTCACCTCTTCTCTTGACTGAGAACAAGAGCAACAATGGAGCCATCTCTCTCTCTCTCTCTTCTTCTTCTTCTTCTTCTTCTTTCTTTGCTCTCTTCTCTATCATAACCATTGACTGAACTAGTAGTTGCCCTACCTTCTCTCATGTTAAGCCAATCCATGTATGGCCATCTTGTTGGCAAATATTCTTGTCCCCTTGATGCCCAACGTAATAAGCATGAGGTAGACCTTTTCTAAAAGGATGAACCTAGTTACTGAGATTGCATTAATGGCATTGACATGGGAACCACCCCTACTTCCACAGTGGTGGTGACCCTACAGAGTTGGCAAAGGGTTCAATATTAGCCGTAGCAACCCCAGAGGTGGTGGTGCTGGGCTTGCATCACCTCTGTTTGTAGTCCCCTGCTATGACAAGGTAGGCGAGTTGGAAGAGCGTGCATTCTGTAGGGAGACTCGCACACATTTGATCATCATTGCTGTCTTGTCCATCGTCTTGGCATTGTCATTGTCGCTTTTGTGGTTGGCACTTGACACCACGACACATAAGAATGAGAACAATGATGGGGACAACTCTATCCCTTCAACGACCTTCATGGATGACTCCATCAAAACTGTTTGCAACGTCACTCTACCCCAAATCCTATGTATCCAACAGCTCTTCCCTTGAACACCAATAGGAAATGACAAACCTGGAAGAGATGTTCAACTTGTCTCTGCTAGTGGCCTTCAACAAGCTCTCCAATCTCTCTTTGCTGCCCTGGAAGTTCATCGCCAAGATAAACAGTGATCCAACTCTGGTGGTGGCACTATGGGATTGCCAGATCTGATTCGAAGAAGCTATTGATTAGCTCAACTCGTCCATCTCCTTGATGGAGGTAGGGCAAGGGGGGCTGAGGCACGTCCACCTCATGACAACTGAATTAAGAACTTAAAAAAGAAAAAAAAAACTATTTTACTCTTACAATTCTCCATAGAAGATCTGGCATTAAATCTTGGAGTCTATGTTTGAGAGCTGAGTCTAAATTTCAGACTGCCTCACTTCACGTGCATTGTGGACCAGGCTAAAGTGAGGATTTTGGTCATCCTGATCAATAGGGACTACCATGGTTCTTGCCATGATATGCTTATACTCTTATATTATCAAAAGCAAGTCTCCTTCGCTACCCTCTCTAAATTTATTAGCGTCGCTTTCATCTTTCTATGACACCAAATCAAGAGATTTAGTGCACTCAAAGGTAAAACTTACTTGGCAACTTGGTTTATAATAAAAAAGGAAATCTCAGTTTCATATCTGGTTCAAAATGGATGGTACGTCTGTTGATTGTGACCAAAGGTAAAAGAAGTTTTCTCATCGAACAGGAAATCTCTACATCATTATAAAACAGGGTATAGTGGAGGTCTATATTGCTGAAGATCCAAAACAAGGTTCCGTTCTAGGATTTGTGGTGATGAAAAGCTACCACAAGCTCTAGCATCAAATGTGGGATGTTGGTTTCATAACGACAGCAATTAATTCTGCTATAAGGTTTAGTTGTTTTTTATCCAAAAAAGGGCTTGGTTGGAAATGACTGTGCAGAAGACAATGAATTATATTCTAGGGTTTTGGTTAATCTCCATTCAAAACTACTAAACCAATCAATTTCTCCTATGTGCAAACCTGTTTGCACGATGAATTTCTGGGGCAGCTCAGAATGTGGGTCAACCTGTTTCTCCAAGCTTCAGGACGTGGCTCAACTCTGCCATCACATATGAGCAAACCTGTTTAGACAGCTTGGAGATGTTGATAGTTGCAATACGATGCATAGCTGTCACTGCCATCTTCCCCTACTGTGGGGATAGTTGTTCAACTATGGTGGTATTGTGGTTTAGTTGCAACGAGCAATGGTTACGGTGGAGTAGAGAGTGGGTGAAGAAGAAGAGAGAGAGAGAGATGTGGGAATTTTATGTGAAACCCACCTGTTATTTTTCCCCTTGAAATTATTCAAGTTGAAACAACCAGACTATTTTTGTTTTGTTAATAATTTATTATCTTATTAGTAATTTAGTATTAATTAAGTATTAAGTAAAATTACTTTTTTTGTTTTTGTTTTTGGTCACATTTGAATGGGTGAGAATTTTAAGTGGGACCCACTTGTAATTTCCTAGGTATATTTGACTTGAGCAGTGCCACATTAGTAGGCCTTATTATTTTATTGTTTATCTAACAATGCTGTCAAAGAGATACCTTTAGCCCAAAAGTCATTCACTTGGTCCAATCTCCAATCAAGTCCTATCTGCTCTAAGCTGGATAGGTTTCTTTTTTCATTGGATTGGGAAGACCATTGGGGCCACCTTGCCTCTAGGTCTCTTCCTAGACTGACCTTGGATCATTGGCCAATTGTGATTTGCAAAGAGGAGAGGAGAGGAGCGCCTGTCCCTTTTAGGTTTGAGAATATATGGTTGCTCCATCCTGGTTTTACTTTGAGAGTTAAGAAATGGTGGAGTGAGTGTAACCCAGTTGTGGATTGGGAAGGCATGAGATTTCATAAGAAGCTCCAATTTCTGAAAGCCAAGCTCAAGGAGTGGAATAAGTTGGAATTCAGGAGATTAGAAGAAAGGAAGAATACATTGATGGATTAAATTGAGTTCCTTGACTCGAAAGAAGAAAGGGGAGAATTTGGAGAAGCAGATAAGGATCAAAGAAGGGACTTGGGATGGCAGTTAGAGGATTGTCTACAAAAGGAGGAAATAAATTGGAGGCAAAAATCTCGATGCAAATGGCTGTAAGAGGGAGATAGAAATACCAGATTTTTCATTCTGTGGCAAATGGAAGGGGAAGGAAAAGCATGATCTCAGGATTGGAAGTGGATGGCGGTGTTTTAACACAACAAGATGAAATAGCAGGGGCTTTTGTTGAACACTTTAAGTCCATATTAAGAAGGCCACTCAAGAGGGGGAAGTGGCTAGAAGGTTTGGATTGGCCAAATGTAGGGGAGGTTAATAGGCAGAGGTTGGAAAGAAGGTTTGAGATGGATGAGATTAAGGAGGCTGTGTTTTCTATGGACATAACAAAAGCTCCAGGCCCGGATGGTTTTACAATGGCCTTCTATCAAGCTTGTTGGGATATCGTGAAGGTGACCTCCTGCTAGTGTTCGAGGAATTCTATAGAAGAGGGGTGATCAACCCGGGTCTGAATTCCACTTTTCTAGCATTCCCAAAGAAGAAAGATGCTTCCCACCCCAAGGACTTTAGGCCAATCAGTCTGATAAACAACTTGTATAAGATCATTGCAAAGGTTTTGTCTCTGAGGTTGAAGGAAGTTTTGCCAACAATAATCTCTCCAAATCAAGGAGCTTTTGTGAGTGGGAGACAGATTACTGATCAAATCTTGATTGCCAATGAGAGCATGGAGAACTTTAGGAAGAACAGGAAGAAGGGAGTGGTCTGTAAGTTGGATTTGGAAAAGGCTTATGACTTGGTGGAGTGGTCTTTCTTATTGAAAGTTATGTCCAATTTTGGGTTCTGGACTAGATGGTGTAAATGGATTTTGGGGTGTGTTCAGAATTGTCATTATTCTGTGCTAGTGAATGGAACAGTGGTGGGTTTTTCCCCTGTTGTTAGGGGAATAAGACAGGGTGACCCCCTTTCTCCTTTCCTGTTCACTATGGTGGCTGATGTTCTGGGGAGGTTGATTCATAGAGCAGATTCTAGGGGACTTGTTAGAGGTTGGAGAATTGGGAGGGAGGATATTCCCCTTACCCACTTATAGTTTGCAGATGATACGATTTTGTTTGTGAAGGTGGGAACTTGAGTTATATCAGGAATTTGAAGTTGGCAAGTCTCAGGTTGGCCATTGAATTACCTAGGGATGCCTTTGGGTGATAACCCAAAGAAGGAGAGTTTTTGGAACCCGGTGGTGGAAAGATTCAAAAAGAGACTTGCCTCTTGGAAGAAGAATTATCTTTCCCTTGGCGGGAGGATTACACTGATTAAGGCTACTCTAGCTAATTTGCCCATTTACTTCTTCTCAGTGTTCAAAATTCTTGCTAAGGTTTCTAATAGATTGGAGAAGATGATGAGAGATTTCCTATGGGAGCTGGGAGAGGATAAAAGGGACCATAGGGTGAGTTGGGAGGTGGTGACAATAAGTAAAAACCTTGGTGGATTGGGGCTTGGGAACATCATGAAAAGGAATATGGCTCTTTTGGGGAAATGGTTATGGAGACTCCCAATAGAAAATGAGAGACTATGGGCTAGAATAGTGGTAAGCATACATGGGATGAAGCAAAATGGATGGGATGCTGGATCCGAGTTGGGACCACAAGTACATCACCTTGGAAAGCCATTCACGATTTGCTTCCTCTTTTCACTCCTCTCATCTGGTATGATCTGAACTCAGGTAATTCCATAAAATTCTGGGAACAAACTTGGGTGGGGAATGCCCCTCTTAAGGATTTATTTCCTTTTGTGTATGCCCTCTCTATACTAAAAAATCAGCCAATTTCTTCCTTTATTACCCCTTCACCTTCATCTTTTGGGTTTGGTTGGAACTTGGGTTTGAGAAGGGTTGTGAGAGATACAGATTTGGACTATATCTCGAGCCTCCTTGGTATTCTTGATAATGTTTTCCTGGACCCTGCTAAGATGGATTCTAGAATTTGGACCCCCACCCCCACTGTCTCCTTTTCTTGTGCCTCTTTTTTCAAAGCCCTAAGTTAGCCCCCTAGCTCTATTGGCCCTCTCTTCCCGGTTAAGGAGGTTTGGTGCAGACCAATTCCCCTTAGAGTTGGTAGTTTTTGTTGGGAAGCTTTTCTGGAAAGTATCAACACTGGTGATATGCTCCAAAAGAAAAGACCTAAGACATGTTTATCCCCTTTTTGGTGTGTTCTTTGTAAAGCGGAAGGGGAGACTGGTTTCCACCTATTGGTGACTTGCCAGTTTGCTAAGTCCATTTGGGGGGGTGGGCACTATCCCTTTACGGGTGTAGTTGGAGTGCTTCAAATTTGCAAAGCCTTTTTTCCCCTTCTTTCTTCAGGTGCCGAAGGAAAAGGGGAAGGACCATGTGGAGATTTTTGAGGGCTGCAGTTTGTTGGGCCTTGTGGGAGGAAAGGAATTCTAGAATATTTTCTGAAGTAGAAAAAAGCAATGAAGAACTAAGAGAATTGATCCATATAAGGGTAGTACAGTGGCTGAAATCATTAGAGCTGTTTGTAGACTTCACAATGGATGATTTGTTGAGGAAGTGGAGTGAGATTGCTAACTGCACCCAGACCAAAGCAATCTTAGGTGTGTCTTGGACTCCCCCACCGGCTGGCTTCTTAAAACTAAACTTTGATGGGAGTAGTCGGGGGAATCCTGGACAATCGGGGATTGGAGGTGTGTTTAGGGATGAGAATGGGCTTGTCTCTGCCATGTTCTCTGGCCCAATTGGGGTGGGTGGCTCTCTCAGGGCTGAAATCTTTGCAGTTATGGAAGGAGTTCAAAGAGCCAAGGAACTGAATATAAGAAAACTCACCATTGAAGGGGATTCAGAGGTGGTGGTAGGGTGGCTAAGTAAAGAAAACAAGAGCTTATGGATGTACAGTAAAGAGAGGAGGAAGTTTAGGTGGCTGGTTCAAGAGATGGAAGTTAAGATTGCTGGGAGAAAAGATCAGCTAACTCTTTTGCAGATGGGTTAGCTAAGCAAGGAGTCGATAGGGAGACACTGTTTTGGGCACAAGTGTAACATTTTTCCTTTTTGTTCTTGGGAGTGTTTAGCTCCATTTGGAAGATAAGAAAGTTTATCTTCCTCTCTGTAATTACTTTTGTGATTAAGTAATGAATTGTTGTTTTGATAAAAAAAGAATCTAACAGTACTGTCAATGGCGATAGAGTTGTCACTTTTGGGTTTACTGTGGCCCTTTCACCATAGTTTAAGGGTGAAACTGGCTCTTTTGAATTTTTAGGGTCAAATGTGACATTTATGCATAGTTCAAGGGTTGTCAGAGCCAAAAACCCTTTTAGGGTCTAAGTAGTAGAGGGAATTAAATGTGGAGGCTCAACCCTGTAGCCTATGTATATTCTGGAAGGAGAGAAATAGAAGCGTTTTTGAAATTAAAACTTTGCAAGATGATGAATTTTTAAGGACTGTTGCTACAACATTTTTTTGCTGGACATCTGGTCGTTTTTCTGCTTAGCATATTTCTTTTCAGCAGTTGTTTTCTGCTTACTTGTATCGTTATTAGCTGCTGAGATGGTTTCAGTTATAGTCTTTTAGTCTCCAGTTTTATAGTTTCTTCTGATGACTAGGAGCTGGGAAAAACCTTCGTCATTATAGTTGCTACAGTGTTGTGTGCCTTCTAGGAATATATGACATCGGTACTCTCGGTGCCAACGTGTGCCTTGGTAAAGTCTAGGGGGAGTTGAATCCCAGACGTGGTCAGTCTTAACTATCAATGGCCAATGTGTGTTTCTGCATGTGTGTTTGTGTCTGTGGATTCATTGTGGCCGAATTTGTTTCCTGTGGTTTGTTGGCAACATTTATTGTAAATTTATTCACAGAATTTCTAAGAATTACAATGGAGGCACTGCTATGAAGTATGAAATACTTAGACCTGGCAAAAGCTTATAAATGCAGATGACTGCATGAGTATGTGTGCACTCATTTGGGGGAGAACATTTCGGAAATTTTGATCAGTTTTACTTATTTTTTTGATAGGAAACGGTAATTTTCATTAAATAATTGAAAAGATTACAGGCTTACCACCCACAAAACGGTAACTTTCATCAGTTTTACTTATTTTGGCAGTTCAGTTTTGTGTTGCACTTGAAAGATTTGGGGATATTTTGCCTGGTATGAAATGAAATTTCTTTTCATAAAAGTCCTTTACCTTTCTAAAAAAAGTCTACTTGAAAAATGAACCAATAGTGTTTCATTCTATGTGTTATTTGAGGTTGCCAATTTTGTTAATTCCCTTTTGAACTTTTGTATGGCCAATCTTCTATAAAATTGCCATTATCATGTGGGTTCCTTCCCTTCATTTCATTTGGGATCTGGTTTGGTGGGTTATGTATGCATGTGGATATTAACTATGTTGCATTAGCTATTTTTATATCAAATCTGCTTCTTTCTCTTTCCAAATAATTCATATTTAGGATTTCAATCAAGCAATTGTTGTGATTTAAAAGGCGTGTCTTGTGCCTCAGCCCAGGTGTGCGCCTTTTGAAAATTTGACACTTTTTTGCTTTTTTTGAGTCTAGCGGCTGGGCCACGGGAACCGCCCCCTGACCCCCATGCCATGCCCCTTGAGGCAAGCCCCCTATTTGGTAATGTTGTTCATTCATTCATCCTAATAAAATATCTACTTAAAAAGCAGTTAAAAATATAAAATCATTATTTTTTTTTTGTTTGTGTGAGAACTAAGAATTTAAGACCCTAACATGGATTTGTTTGGGCTTGCCTTGGGGGTGTGGCACAAAGGCGACTCGTAGAATCAGGAATGTAATATGTTTTACATCACATTAGCAATTTGAAGTAATGAAATTGAGAAAAAAAAAGAGATTGTGGGTTTTACTTTTCATGCTTGAAAATGTTTTATATGTTTGATTTTATTTTTAAATTCTCTTTTGAATATGCTTTACACTTATGTTTATTATGTATTTTAATTTTAGGTAGTAGGTTTTTTAAAACATTTATTTTAAAATTTAAGTTTATTTTTTATTAATATTATGTTTTATATTTTTTTGCATTTTTTTTGACATTTTTGATTTTTTAGCTTTTATTTATTTATTTTTATTTTTGCGCCTTGCTTAAAAAAGCGTGCGCCTTGCGCCTCAGGCGCAATCTGACCCCTACGCCTTGCACTTTTAAAACACTTTATGGATGTTAGATATAAATACATAAGCATGTTTTGTTTGTATATTAAGGGGTCAAATTGGGCAATCTGTACATTGTTGTGAAGGGCAAGGCAATCAGCTTTTCTTAAATATCTTTGGTACGATATAATATCAAAGAACTTTGATGACTTAATGTTTTTATTAAAAGCATTTAGGTTTCACTCTAACAAGGACTGATAGCATAGTTTTCAAGGCGCCAAGGCGAGGCTAGGCGACTGGGGGGCGCCTTGTCGCCTAGTTGCCTAGGCAATGGATTTTTTTTTATGTTAAAAACATAGATCCTAGGGTAGTTCCCTAGATACCATAATCATATTTTTTTTAATAATTATTCATAATTTTCATAAGAAAAGTATAAATTTCATATTAAAGTATAGAAAATCAACATATTCATGAGAAGAAAAGCAAGAAGGAAAATAAAATTCAAAAAATATAGGGGCTGAACCCTTATTTTTGTTATAGGAAAAGAAGAAAATAAAAAGTATTGGTMRTAGTAGTAGTAGAAGAAGAATATATGGAAGAGGAAAATGTGCTGATTAGATAAAATTTTAAGTTCTTCCTTACTTATTGGTTCAGGTTTTTAAGTCTTTGAGGGTTCAATACAGCATTTAGCAATGTTTGTGTTAATCAAACCCTAATAAATAAGAAAATAATAAAAAGAAATTAGTATATAAACACACAAAATGATTATTTTAGTTTAATGATGTCTATTTTATAATTTTAATCTCAAAAAAGAATGAATAAAAAAGTATTTTTTAGTAGGGAATAGAAAACTGCTTGGCGATTAGGTGAGGTGAGCTTCAAAGGGTGCCTTGTCGCCTAGGCGTCGCCTTGACAACTATGACTGATAGATGGTAGATCTTTGGTTAGTCTTGTGGATGTTGACAAGTATTTTGGATGAGTTACTATCATGGCTTGCAATATATCAATGGACATTTTGCCATCACAGAGATTGGGAAATTTTGTGAATATTTTTCTAAGATATTTGAAAAATCTAAAATGTCAATGAAATTTTCTTAAATCCTGTTATTTCTTAATACACCTTTCAGGAATCAGTAGAAGTTTAATTGCACATTTAAGGCTAAACATGTCAAAACCAAGGACCGACTTGCCAACCTGTACTTGTACTCCTTTGTGCCAAAATGTGCAGGTTTTGACATTTTTGTTTTCAACTTAGTTTTAATAGAGATTTTCCATTAGGCTAAAATTGTCAAAACCAAGGGCCAACTCGTCATTGTTGAAGCTTAATGCAGCTTGAAGAAGCCTTACCTTGATTTTTTTTTTATTTATTTAGGAAAGGTACTTCAAATTGTTAGGTCTAGGCTTTTTAAAATGTCATTACTTTGTCTTGGTCCCAGCTTTCTGGGGTCTTGGTAGGGGTAGGCTGGATATGGTCCTAGTGTTGGGCATTTCTTTTACACAAAGCAGTCACTTTCAGACTCACACCCACGTTTTCATGCTTGCCAGCCTGAGATTTTACCATTGCACTGAGTAATGGCACCTTAGGTCTAGGCTTTTTATCTTAATTTGGAAAGTTATTCTAAACCAAAAAACTTGATTTCATTTCTCTCTACACTCATTGTATATTTTGATATTTAAAGGGGCTTTACCCTTTTCATGTGATTTGGTGTATCTACCTGTGACCTCAGAACACAGGTTACAAGGTTTCTACAGAGCCACGGAAACCAATTGAGCGTATAGGGCAAGGCACAAAATCTCACACATTTTCAGATCGTGTTGCTCGAAGAGGAGGAGGCTATTCTCGGAATGCCTTATCTGGTAAGAATAAATCATAACAAGTTCAATACATGTTTTTATAGGTAGTTTGTTTGTGCTTGTTGGTATCTAAGTCAGTCCTTGATTTTTTTTGAATGCTTCATTATTCATAATTTTGAAATTTGATGTTACTAGTGTCAAAAGATCTGTTAGCTATGTTTTCAGGATCAATTGGGGAAGGGGGAGCAATAAGAGATGAACATGGAAATCTGTTACCTATGTTTTCAGGACCAATTGGGGAAGGGGACTCCTTGAGGGATGAGATTTTTGCAGCCATTGAAGGGGTTCGAAGAGCCAAGGAGATGCAAATTAGAAAGCTGATTATTGAAGGAGATTCTGAAGTGGTGGTGAACTGTTTAAAAGAAGATAACTCAAGGATATGGAAGTACAACAGTGAAAAACGAAAATTTAAGTGGCTGGCTAAGGATGTTGAAATTCAGTACAAATGGGTTAAGAGAAGTGCAAACTCACTGGCAGATGGTTTAGCCAGGCAAGGGGTTAATAGAAACTCTTTGTTTTGGGCTTTATTGTAATTGTATTTGCTGCTCATAGACTGTTTTAGGGAGCTAAGATTGTTTAGCCCCCTTGCTTTGTAATTCTTCTTAATTTTAATGAATACATTTCACAGTTATTGATAAAAAAAATGTTACTAGTGTCAAATGATCTCCACCATTTTGTTAATACATTGGAACCTCATGAGTAGACTTTAGATGGTCAGTTTTTAAGATAGAATTTTTATACAATGAACTTAATGACTGTATAAAAATCAAAAGGGGAGGATTTTTTTTTTTTGTTGTTTTTTGGTAGTTCTTATTTGATCTTTAATAAAATACTTCTTTTTTTTTGATGGGAAATGGGTAGCTTTCATTACAAATATCACCACCCAAAGGATGGTGGGAGAAGCCAAAAGAATATTAGACTTAAACAAGCTCAAAATGAAGCCTTCCTATTAACTCCTTGCTTTAGCTAAGGCGTCATGACAGGGGGGTCTTTGTCGCAAAATAAAGTACAGGGGGGTCTTTGTCACAGACCCCATAGTACAGGGGGGTCTTTGTAATTTACCCTTTTTTGTAGTTTTTTGGTAATTCTTATTTGATCTTTAATAAAATGCTTCTTTTTTTTGATAGGAAATGGGTAGCTTTCATTACAAATATCACCACCCAAAGGATGGTTGGAGATGCCAAAAGAATATTAGACTTACAAACAAGCTCAAAGCGAAGCATCCCTATTAATTCCTTGCTTTAGCTAAGGCGTTATCCATTCCATTTGCAAACCTTCTTACCCATCTAAATTGCATCCCAAACTCCCTTGCTAAGCCCACAATTTCTCTTAGTAGATGTCTGAGTAACCACACTCCGAGGTTTCTAGTTTGCATCCACCCTATTACCAGCTTGGAGTCTCCTTCCACTCCCAAGTGTTGCATTCCCCATTGTTTTGCCACGCTCAGGCTTGTCACCGGTGGATACACTCCAAGGTTTATAAAATGCTTCTTATTACGTATAAAAAAGTTTTTTGTAGTTTTTGATGCATGATGTTATTGGACGTTAATTCTATGGCCAACAATGGCAATGAAGGAATGTGAAAAACCTCTTTTGAATGGGGATTATCTAGTCCCGGCTTCTAGGGGGGTTTGAATGGTTTGTATTTGTCTTATATGAATAATTCTTTTGGTATTTCAAAATATGAATAATTCTTTATGCTGCTGGTAGTTTTCTCTTTCATAATATATCCTTAAAGGAATGGGTGTTGTAGGTTAGGTGGTGGCTAGACAAGGGAGGTGGTCTCTTTGAAGGACAGAAGAAGACCGAGGAGAGGGGATCAATTGAGAGGCTAGGGTAAAAGGAGAGTAATGAGACAATGGAGCGGGGAGATCAGTGATAAGGGTAATCAGCGATTGACTCTGAATGAACTTCATTATGTGAAGGATCTCCATTTATGGGGAAGATCTCGATAAGGGTAATCAGTGATCGAAAATTTGCTGCTTTTTCCCTGTTTTTGAGTTTGGCCGCTGGGCGTGTCACAAAGGCGGCTCGTAGAATTAGGAATGTAATATATCACAATAACTACTTGATGCAATTGAGAAAAAAAAGAGATTGTGAGTTTTATATGCTTGAAAATGTTTTATATGTTTGATTTCATTTTTAAATTCTCATTTGAATATGCTTTACATATTATATTTATGCATTTTAATTTTAGATAATAGTTTTTTAAAACATTTATTTTAAAACTTAAGTTAATATTTTTATTAATATTATGTTTTATATTTTTTGATTTCTTTTTGAATTTTTTTTTATTTTTTTTCAAATTTTTTTAATTTTGCACCTTGCCTCAAAAAGGCGCACGCCTCAGGTGCAAAATGGCCCTTGTGCCTTGCGCTTTTAAAACATTGGTTGAACTATTGGTTCATCACAGAGGAAAGATTGACTGCAGGCTAATTGCAAGCGTCCATGTAGTATTAATCCAATGTTTACTGTGCCCTGAAGGATTGAGTGAGCACTATGCACCTACAGGTGCAAATGCTGGTCAGTGTAAAACAGGTAAGAGTGCAAATGCTGAAGCAAAATGAATTTGCACTTCTGTTCACTTTTGGTAAGAATACGTGTTTGTACTGAAAATATGAATTTGTTTTTTTCATGACATGTTTGCTTCCAAAAAATATGACGGAAAACTTTTGCACTCAGAGTTGGTCAGTGTAAAACAATTAGATTCCAGTCTTTGAATTCATGTTTTCACAACCAAATACGTTTGGTAAGAATATAGGATTTATCAATGGATAACCAAACCGGGTATTCATTTTCATGAACCATATATGTTTTGTCTTTGCACTCTTACCAAACTAAGGTTTAGCAACGTGTTTTTATCACCTTTTTTGTCCTCCCACTTAGAAAGGTTTTTAGGGCCTTGTAATCATTATATATAATTTTATACAAATATTTTGTTATCTTTCCTAAAAAATGAATTATCTTATCTTTTTGAGCAGTAACAGATCCTTTTATTAAAGAAAATTAAGGATAAAGTAGAAAGGAAGTTAGGGGAGAGGTCTCTTACCCACTGCAGCCGAATCTCTGTACCCTAGGTTAACCATTTAAACTTTCTTTTTTGATTAGCAAACTTCCATAGTCGATTCTCCTCCTTTTGCAACCATCCTATAACCAATTTTGAGTCACCTTCAACAATTAGCTTTCTAAAGTTCAACTCCTTAGCCTTCTTTAACCTTTCCATATCTGCCAAGATCTCAGCTCTAATAATGGCATCTCTATTCCTTTCCCTTTTAGAAAAAGTCCTTGAGTTCGTTTCTTCCCAAATTATCCAACAAATGGCTTCCCCTCTTCTTTGGCCACCTAACGAAGGAAGAAGCAAATGAGCTTTGTACATTTGGCGGTGGGGGTCCACCTACAACCAAACAAAGAGAGAACCAATCCCAAATAATTGAAACAAAAGGATAGGAGATTAATAAGTGATAGCAGTTCTCACCATTAGCCTTACAAAGGATACACCAATTAGGGGATAACTTGAATTGGAAGTGACCAAAAAGTAGACACAAGCTAATTTTTAAACAAAGAAAAGGAATACAAACAATGTTTCCCAAAATTTCACACAATTTCTAGAACGTAGGTCATACCTAATAAAAGGTAGGTAGGAAGAATGGCATGAATGGATTTCCATGGAGAAGCTCGTGTAGCCTTAGTCAAGAGTTCCACATCCCATTCTTTAGTTGTTTGCCCATGGATACTTAAAATCATCTTTGCCCACAACTTATCCCTGTCCATTGTCAGTTTCCATAACCATTTCCCCAATAATGCCTTGCTTCTCTTTTGAACATTTCTTATGCCTAAGCCATCATTGTTCTTGCTTCCAGTGGCCACCTTTCAACTGTCTCAATGATCTCTTTTCTCCTTCCCCTGGTTTTCACAAGAAATCTGTCATCAACTTTTCCAAAATTCTACTTACCCCTTATGGGATGTAAAAAATAGATAAGAAGTACATGGGCAAGTTGGTCAATGTAGACTTCATCAACATGATCCTAAATGTAGTTCCAAATAATTCAGAAGTCATTGAGAGACCACACATCCCAAAATGTTGCCCTCATTTTGTCTTTGTCAATTTTATTCATGAAGCATTTGAGTCTGTTGATTGCTGCTTTCACATGAACCAGCTTTTGTAGTGATTGACGGATCTTTCATTATGGATATATCATGGTTTTCTCTTTTATTGATTAACTGTAGGCTTCAGTGGTACGAAACAAAATACTAAAACTTGACTGAATGCAGGAATCAGCAGAGAGTTTCGTATCGTGAGAGACAACAGAATTAGTCAAAATTCAAATAGGGAAGCAAAACCTGCATCACTTCATTGTTCAACTTCTGGTAATGAGCAACCCATTACAAGTGCTTCTGAAATGAGGTACATATTCTCTTTTTTTGGTCTTTTTTTTTTCTTGACTAGAACCAATGTTCAAAATTTTGGTACACCCTGATACACCAGAAGGGGTGTTCGGTACTATGAACCATGCATTTTTTTAGTTTTTTCAAAATTTCAGTTTGGGCCTATTTATATGTGTTTTAATTATTTAAAGGTTTCTTAAAAACACCTTTAAGTAGGTGTATCAGAACCTAAAAGATACAAAATGGGGCATATCATATTGAAATTGTATACCTGCTTAGAACGATTGGTCGCCTTGACCAACCGTTTGGTGGTGTTGTTAACAAAAACTCTACAACAATTGGTCACCTCAATTCTGTAGAAACTTTAATGATTGGAAAATAAATCCTTTGGTGGAGTTGTTACAAAAACTCTACAATTTCAAGATAAACATGAATAGGCTGGACCAAAGGTCATAGGCATGGTAGGGTATAGGGAATTTTTTGGTGGTGTCTTTCTACAACAACTGACATGGCTTTCTGAAGCTAGTATCCCAAGTTCCGGAATTTGGTGTGTGGTTGTTCCCTTTAAAGTTTCTCTTTTATGTGGACTGCATCTCAGATTAGAATTTTGACAAGGGACAACTTATTGAAGAGCAAAATAGTATCAGAAGAGATCAATTCTGTGCTTTCTGGTAGGTGCGTTGAATCAGCGAATCATTTGCTCATGGTTTTTCTTATTGGCTGTGGATAAGAATGTGAGGGCTGTTTGTTGTAAATGAATGTTTCCCAGAATCTTTAGGAGTTCCTGTGGTGCTGGTATTAAACGGTCTTGTGGTCTGTACAAAAAGGGCAAAGTTGCTTTTAATTTAATACCTGCTGCTGCTATTTTCTGGGCAATTTGTGGTGAAAAATTGCAGTGTTTGAAAACAAGGCAAGCTGGAGTAGGTGGTGGTGAAAAGGATAGTAAGAATGCTTCACTCATGGCTGGTTGATCTCAGACTTTTATATGAAGAAACTATAAGTACTTTTTTTTGTTGAATATGGAAATCTTTTTGTAATTTGATAATTTTTGGCTGGGTGACTCTCTAAACTATACTGCTGTCAAGGTGAGGCACTTTTATAATCCTGTTTTTTGATCAACACAATACCTTACCACTTTAAAGAAAGTAGCGAGGGAAATTTGGATTTGTTGCACTAGTTGGGTGGTACGAGTAAAAGGAACTAAAATTTTTGGATGGCCATCTTGATAAGAGGCTATAGAGGTGGGAGAATTGTTGCTATGTTTTCTGGGCCAATAGGGGTGGGAGACTCATTGCGAGCAAAAGTGATGGCTCTGCTTCAAGGTGTAAAGTATGCCAAGCAATTGGGATTACACCAAGTGGAGATAGAAGGAGATTCTAAATTGTTAATGGGCTGTCTGCAATCAGGCAAGTTAGGTGCATGGATGTATCAACAGCCCATACGTGAAATTCTCAATATAACAAGGGAGCTTGATGCAGGCTTCAAGTGGAAAAGAAAAGCAGCTAATGGTCTGGTTGATACCTTAGCCAGACAAGGGACAGTGAGGGAAAGTTCGTTCTGGGCAGTTCTGTAATTTAAATTACTTGGGCCCAACTCCTATCTTAGGGGTTGACAATTGTATCTTAATTTTACAGTAATGAAGTTACCCGTTTCCAATAAAAAAATCTTGATACGAGGCTATATCAAGTATTGAAATTATATGGTAAAGATGTCATCTCTGGCTATTGGTTTTTATTCTGAAAACTAGATTGTCTTTTGTCACTTCGCTTTGTAGTCTGATCTTGCTCAGCTATGTAACAAGTTCACTTCACTTTGCATATGCTTTGCCTAAACAAGGGGCAAACATGCAGCAGATGTTTTGGGCTAAAATGTAATGTTTGTATTTTGAGATTGAGTATTATCTATACACTATACTTCGATTATCTCCTGGGAGTGGGTAGTATACCCACAGCAATGTTACCTTCAGTTTTAATATATAATTAATAAATTCTGCTTTTGTTGATAAAAATGTTCACTCTCAAATAGACTATTTTGTTTACATGCTAGATAGGTAGAACGCAAAAAAAGGGCAGACCAGTGCCCGAGGTTCCCGCCAATGTGGGGGTAGAGCACACATGCTTGTCTATAATGATATCAATACATTGATTATTTTATTTATCATAGCATAACAGGCTTAATTAATTCCGTTGACTGCATTTATTGATGATTTGACTTATAGAATTGAAATCTTCCATTGCCTTGATGTATGCTATTGGATTTATTGCCTATGGTCTTTGAAATTTGCGGTTGAAAGTGACTGTTGCTTATTTGGTAATCGATCTATGTAAGTTTATTACTAATGGTTATTATTTAGTATTTTTAAATTAAAATAAGGAAGTGACAATATGCTTCATATCATTGAATTTATCTTTATAAATTGTAGGTCTTTTCAAAACCACAGCCTCACTGTGGAATCTCTGCTTTAGTTTTCAATATAACATATTTCCTTACCTCGTAAAAACCCACAGCCTCATTTATCAAAAAAAAAAAAATCCACAGCCTCACCGTTTCCTACACACCTGCATGAATGCTAGTGGTAAGGGTGTAACTTGTTGCTTAGCCTTGCCTTGTATTGTACCCAAATTGTTGCAATTCGAATTCACCTCTTTGGTTGTTTGCTTATAGATGTTTTCTTCCTCTGCAGTCTGCCAGGGGTTATGATCGATAAAAAGCATTTGGTTGCCCAACAATCAGATGGGCAGAAGTTACATCAAACTATGTCCACTGATTCTGGTGTCAGACATACTCGAGATGTTAATTCCAGTGGCGCTTATAGAAAGGACTTATTGGATGAGTCACGGATATCAGTGCTGAACTCAAGTTTGCGGGTTCAGGGACTGAGGCCAAATGATTCTCAACAGTATTGCTCAAAATCAGCATCTAGCAATTCTATAGTTGGGGTTTATTCCTCCTCTTCGGACCCTGTTCATGTTCCCTCACCTGACTCTAGATTATCTGCAAATGTTGGAGCTATCAAACGTGAAGTTGGGGTAGTTGGTGTTCGCCGGCAATCTACGGATAATTCTACTAAACATGCATCAGGTTCAAGCAGCTCTTTTTCAAATTCACTTGTGGCGAAGGATGTTTCAGCAGCAGAATCATTTCGACCCTCAACCACTGTCACAAAGAATGATCAACTCAGTCAAATAGCTACACCTGAATCTGTCACGCCTAGCATGGCGGTTGGTAGATCTTTCTTGAACAACCAGTACCATAACAAGTCGCAACAATTTGTGGGGCATCCAAAAGGTAATCTTGCTGCTTATAGATTTATCATGGTATGGGGGTCAAGGTCAAGGAAACAAGTGGTGCTTTGAGTGCTAACCTTAATCTCCCTATCTATTTCACTGCCATTAAATATTCTCTTAAGTTTTAACCAACATGCTATTCATAGCTCTGATACCAGCATGCAATTCTTTGTCAAGTCTTGTCCTTGTATCCAGGTAAACATAGATTCCGAAAGACATTTTTCATTCTTAAACATGGATGAACAGGGCGCCTCTATTAAGGAACCCATAACATTTGGTAATTTTGTATCCTTGTAATCTAAGATTGCTATTTTCTGTTAATTTTTTTTGTTCATCTTTGGGCTATGTCCTCTTTCCTTTATCTCTGAAAGAGTAAGAGGTTGTATCTGTATTGAGTTCTGCCCTTAAGATCTTTTGAATTGCTTCTGATGAAAGGCAAAAATGAGGGTGAACCTTATTCTTGTTGATGAAAATACAATGAAAGAAGAATGAAAAATAATAGTGCCCACTTTCGTCCTAAAGCAATTAAAATTCGTCCTTGTAAGTTTGTTGGAATTGGAATGCTTGTGAACCTTATTGTTGTTTGCTAAAGTGCAATGGAATAACTTCGTTGGAATTTGATGTCTAAAGAAAAAAAAAGCTGTTTCTTGGTTTTGTCATGCCATCTTGATTTGTGGGAAGCATTATATATATATCAGTATTTTAAAAGGCGTGGGAGGCATACACCTGGAGGCGCATCTCCAGGCAAGGCGTGGGAGGCATACACCTGGAGGTGCATCTCCAGGCAAGGCGCTGACACCTCTGAGGTGTACGCCTCATGCTCTTTTTTCATGTGGCATGCTAGAGGCGTACGCCACATGCACATCTTATATAAAAAGACAAATAAAAGAAAAAAAGGAAAGGAAAAGAAAAGAAATGAAAGGGAAAGAAAAGGAAAGGGAAGAGAAGAAAAGATAAGGGGAAAGAAAGTGGTTTGCCCCCTGAACTAAAGAAAGGGAAGGGAAAGAAAAGAAAAGGAAAGAAAAAGAAAGAAAAGCCCTTTCAACTAATGTTATGCATCTTTATTCTTCTTAATATAAAATATTTTTATTAAAAATAAAGAAAAAATGAGATCCCCCCTTCCTCCTCCTAACCCCCCTCCTCTCAAGGAGGTTTACGCCTTCTTGTGTTCAGGAGGCTTATGCCTCTTGCGTTCTGAATTACGTGTCACGCCTCTAGCTAGTGGAACGCCTCGCAGCCTCTGCGTTTTAAAACATATATATATATATATCCAGCAGACCTTAGATCAACGCTTACTCATTTACAATATAATGAATTATAGATTACGAAGTGATTCCCATTCTTGTTCTCCCCATTCCAAGAATTCCTTAACTGGTCCAGCCTTAGTATTGACCAGTCAACAAAATGGTTGAGTGGCATACTGACTACCTCTACTGATTATCAATACCCATGGCACACTCACCTAGGACAACTATGCACTGAATAGTTGTCCTCAAAATTAATTCTTGTTGTAAATGGTTTGGGTCATTCTGATTTCAGTTTTTTTCTAGATAGGGAAATATACCTTCTCATAAAGCTGCTCAATGTGCTAAATCTTTTGATACCTTGATGATATGGTCTGCTCAGCCACCTAGTTGGCTTTACTAAACTCTGATTTTCTTTCGGTTTAGTTTGATTTTCAAAAAGAAAATTGTTTCTTTAAGTTTTATTTATTTGCTCTCTTCTCATTTTATATAGAATTAAATTTTTTTGCTTAATTGTTAAAGAAGATTTGAATTTGATGATTTGTAGTCTTGCTAATTAATATATATATTATAATGATTGAAATTAACATTATATATGCTTTTATTTTCGTACATGCATGTCAGTTGTTTTTGCATTTGCTATGACATATAAAATGCTGTGAATGGTCCAGAATTTTAAAAGTGCAATGCGCAAGGCGAGGCACACACCTTTTGGAAGCAAGGCGCAAAAATGCAGAAAATGCTAAAAAATGCCCAAAAATTGAAACAATGCCAAAAGAAATAAAAATATTAAAAATGTTAAGCACAATATTAATTAAAATTATAAACCTAAGTTATCTATAAAAAAAAATCAAGCATGCCATATAAATCATATTCAAGCATGTGAACTCGTAATCTCTTTATTTTTTTTCCCAATCGCATTACTTCAAATAGCTAATGTGATGTTAAACATTATGCATCCTGATTCTAGAAGCCTCCTTTGTACCAAGCCCCTCGAGGCAAGCCCATATCAGGGTCTTAAATCCTTAATCCCTATAAAAAGGTTTTATAACTTTAAGTGTCTTTTAAATATATCTTTTATTAAGATGAATGAGCAACATTAGAAAATATGTCATTTTCGGAGGCCCAGCCTTTTGTCAAAAGGCGCGTGCCTAGGCTGAAGGCGACCTGGCAACGTCTTTTGAAAGTGCTGCACCTAGGACCTAGACGAGGCACATTTTAGGGTATGCTCTTCGCCTGTGCTCCTAGGTGCGCCTTTTAAATTGATCACTGGGATTCTCACATGTTACACTAACTGGTTGGGGAAGAATAAAAAGAGCTATTGATATATCCTCCAATGATCTAAGTTCAGAAAGGTTTGGCGGTAAAAATGCTGTGAGTATTTACATGTCAAAGCCTTGGATCCTCCTTGGATATTCTGGTTGTGGGTTGATTTAGTTTTGTCCAGAGATCACTGGGCTTCAGGTATAAGAGTTCAGTGCATTATAAGAGTGTTGTTGGGTGCTGTTGTGCATTATAAGAGTGTTGTTGGGTGCTTTTGTGCATTATAAGAGTTCATTGCTAGAATTCAAACTGTTCCCTTACTTTTTTGAACTATTATGTGGTGGTTTATAGAAACTAAGAATGTTAGTTATGTTATATTTATTTATTTTTCATTATTTCTTTCTACTCATACGTGTTCTTTAACATTACCTTCACTATGTTCGTCGATGCAGCTGCACAGTCTAATATGGAATGGAAACCAAAATCAAGTCAAAAGTCTAACACTACAAGTCCTGGTGTAATTGGACCTGTTGCAATTTCCAAACCACCTCCTGTTGATAATTCTTCCAATGTGAAATCAGAAACTGCACATTTACGGGAGAGGCTTTCACAAGTGAACATTTTTGACAACCAGCAAGTAATTATACCACAGCATCTTCGAGTTCCCGAGGCTGAGCGCACACAATTGACCTTTGGCAGCTTTGGAGTGGAGTTTTCTTCTACAGAGAGCTTTGTGACCAAGTCTCAATGTCTGGAGTGTGTGGAAGAATCAAATGAGCAGCCTTCTGCAAGGTGACTGCTATTTCTTGGAGATGTCTTCATATTGCAACTTTGTAGCTTTCTTGAGCTCACCGGAAAATGGGCCATTTTGATGTTAAAATTGTCATAGATGTCAATATCTAGTATTTGACACATCTGTGCTATTTAAATAATAAATAGTATGTAGGATTAGGGATCACTAAAGAAAGCATTTAGTTACAAAACATGTCTTCTGACTTGTTTTGATGACATGAATACTGTAAATGGCAGTGCATCTGTATCAGATCTACCAGCTTCAAGTGAAGATGCTTCTGGTGGCAACCAGGGTGGTTTGTTAGATGAAAAAGTTAGAACTGCTAGATCAGATTCAATGCCATCATCTGAGGCCGCTGAGCTTCAGTTTACTGATAAAGAACAGTCTTCGGGTCCCAGGAATTTGGAAAATTTTGCAGACATTAGATTGGTTCGAAATGATAGCCCATCATTCAGTTCTGCTGAGCCACGACAAGAGCAAGATTCTCCTGGATTGCCAAAATTCTCTGTGAGCTTGGATTCTAGTTCTTTGTTAAATTCGTTGCTTACTTGAAACATCCTGAGTTCTGACCTTTACTACAGAGTGCTGTTCATGTTTAGTACTTTATGATAGGCATTCTGTATTTACTTGGCATATTGCTAAAATGCTTCCTATATTTTTTGTAGGTTACGATCTTTACATTTTCTGATCCTTTTTGTCTGGATTGCAAGCAGGCATATGATTCACAAGTGGGCTATGATGGACCATTTTTCAGACCAGCGGTGGATGAAAATGTACGAGTACAAGGTTTGGTTTCCCCTTCGGAGGTATTTCTTTTAACCTATTCTTTGGCTATTTTTAGGGTTCTACTATGATACCAGAAAAAATTGTAACCAATCAACCTGTATCATAAAAGTGGTAACCAATCAGGTGCTATTTATTAAAATTCACGGGAGGGTTTTGATTTGTCAGAGCTCTTCCAGTACCGTGTCTTTCCGTCAGCATAGATTTTTCCTTATTTTTATATTACCAACATATTCATAATGTTTACTGAATCCAATGCATCTTCTTATCTACAGGCCTTGAATTCACATACAGCAAACAGCATCCCTGCATCCACAACAGCAATGTTGCAACAACCTGTTGCGCAGCTGTATCCCCAAGTTCATCTCTCCCATTACCCAAATTTTATGCCATATCGTCAGTTCCTCTCCCCTGTATATGTCCCACCAATGGCTGTGCCTGGGTATTCTAGTAACCCTTCCTATCCACACCCATCAAATGGCAGCAGCTATGTGTTAATGCCTGGAGGGAGCTCACATATCACTGTTGGGGGTCTCAAATATGGCAACCAACAATATAAGCCAATGCCGGCAGGCAGTCCTACAGGGTTTGGAAACTATACCAGTTTAACTGGATACACTATAAATGCTCCAGGAGTAATAGGGGGCACAACTACACTTGAGGATTCTAATAGGATCAAATACAAGGATGGCAATCTTTATGTTCCAAACCCTCAGGTATTGTACTTCAAAATATACCTTGTCATTGATTTTGATGTTTTGGACTTACGGATTCATTTTGGTAAAACCAATCATCTGATACATAAGGGTCATTATTTTGTGCAATTTTTAAAGTTTCGTGGCAATTTTGTAATTTGAACTTCTGTATTAATAAGAGTTTAGTTTATGGAAGAAATTTAATGGGATAAATCATTGACCAGGTAGAAAATTTCATTTTGGACCAGGCTGAAACCTATTTCCTAAACAAAATATAATACCCGACTACAATGAGCAAGATATAGCTATTCCCTGTGCATTTCGCTTTATGACAGTAATCTGATCTCCTCAGTTGTTGACTTTAAAACCCTGTAATGCTCATGGCCTCATGCTGAGTGCTCCCTAAATGCATGCTGGTCAAGCTTCTCTTTTCTCCATGCCTCTGGTCCTGAAATAGTTGTTCATTCTTAAATTTGTAACTGGATTTCGTAAAATATGTGCTATACAATCTATGGGTTCTGGTGGGGTGTGTTGTTAATTAGATTTGCTGATTGATACATTACAATAGTGTCCTATCGCAGACTTAAGTGTGGTTGCTATTTATGTTGCTTCTGTTGGTTTAATGGTCTTCAAAAGCGTTTTTTTTTTCTTGTTGCAAAATGACAGGGGGAAACATCAGAAATTTGGCTTCAGGCGCCAAGAGAGGTTCCTGGATTGCAATCATCTCCATATTACAACATACCAGGACAAGCACCACACGCAGCATACTTGCCATCTCACACAGGTCATGCTTCATTCAATACTGCTCCGTCTGTATCACAATCAACACACATGCAATTCCCTGGTATGTATCATCCCCCTCCGCAGCCAGCTGCTATTGCCAATCCTCACCACATTGTCCATGGAATGGGGGGTAATGTTGGCGTGGCTGCAGCTTCTCCTGGGGCTCAGGTTGGAGCATACCAGCAACCTCAACTAGGTCATCTCAACTGGACAACAAATTTCTGAGAAAGAAAAGTCAATTCAATCCCCTGCTAATTTGGGATTGTTGTTAGTTATAGAAGGTTCTGTTTCTCTTTGTTAAATGAAAAAGAATTCATAATCTTTTTCTATTAATGCATATTGTGTTTTAGCATTTAATTGGCATTATCCAATGGCATATAATATCCGCCAGTTATCTGGACTAGGATGTTATCTGGTTGGGTCTGCAACTTGTTCTGAGTTAGTGGCCCCCAACCCATACAAGTATATACCCCAACCTTAATCCATCCCACCTCTTGAGAAAAAATAGGGTTGCAATGCACCAGTATCAAACCCTTTTCATTCATCAACTGCAACACTACCAGCACAGTATTATGAATGTAATGAATGCAAGGTTCAAAGTATCAAGACGATACACCCAAGTATTATTCCGGCAGGTCACTGAAATGTCTTTTAATGAATTTTACAATAAAGTGATGTTATTATATGATAAATAACAATATAATAAACCCCATGTGAAAAGTCGAAAGTAAAAAAATAAAAAAATAGTAGAATGTTGAAAATCAGATCTTGTACCAAAGAGAGCAACAATGTCCTGCAGTGTTCAACTATGTGGAGTGGCCTTTTGCGAGAGTTGAGTTAAAGTTGGAGCATCGGGGTGGTAGTGGGCACCAGCCCTGTTTGGTTAACTGTCCAACATTAGGATTCAAGAGAAGAGCTGTTTCATTCTAGGGATAGCCTTTTTTTATTCTTAATTTCTTATAATTTTAAGGGGGGGGGGGGGTTGATGAGTGGTTTGCCTATTTGTGTTCTGTAAGGGAGTAACGAGGAGATGGTGGGAGCAAAAAAGTCCCTTTTTTGTAAAACTTCAACCAATCTGAAGCCCACGTTTATTTGAATTAATACAGTTGATTGGTTCAGTTTTTTTGGTATGATAGTTTTTCGGTATCATGGTCAAATTCCTATAAAAAACAGAGAAACGATGGGGACATGTTAAGGGCATAGAGCCATACAGTATGCAATGAAAAACCGGTTGCAGTTCTGGAACCGAAAGTGGTTAATAGGGCATAAGGCGGAAAATCATGTTATTGCAACTGAAGGGCGGTGGAGTTCCGAGATGCAGGTTAGTACTTGTTTTGCTTTTGTTACCATTCAGATTCAGATGAAGAATTTACGTAGTGCCTTTTTCTTTCAGGTTTATTGAAGGCAAATTCTGTCAAAAAATCAAAATAAATTGGGAACGTCGTGTTGTCGAAGGACCGGGAATAACTAGTTTACTTCTGAAGTGGTTGAATTGAAATTATAGAATGACTTTTAACTGCTTTGCTTTCTATTAGATAAAAGTAATAAAATAGATATGGAGTTTCCAAACAATCGAGTAGGCCTGTTTTTGAAATTCTGAATTCGAATCCGAGATTCGGTATAATCTAATTGAATTCTGATAATTTGAATTGAATTTTCGGTTGAATTTGGATATTATTTTTTTATCGGATTGAATTCGGATATACATTGATCTGATCCAATAAATATCCGAACCAATTATATAATATAATATATTTCTGATAGTTATTTAGATAATTATTTATTGGTTTTTTGGTTTTTGGTTATGATTTAAATCATAATCGGTTGAATTCGAATTGAATTGAACATTCAATTTAATAATCAAAATCGAATTTGAATTGATATATTTGAATATCAGTATTTATAATCAGTTTCGAATTTGAATTTAGCCTGATTCGATTTGTTTACAGGCCTACAATCGAGGAGTGCATAACTTAATGACCTAGCCACTAAAAGATAAAACGATAAGTCATTCAGTCCAGGCACTTCAGCTGTCACGTAACGTATCCATAGGGGTTCTAGCCTTCTAGGTAGTGAAAGTTTAGTGCATAATATGTGATCCTTTGCATTGGTCACTTCTCAAACAAGGGTTTATTTGGTTTTTGATTTCAAATATCCTGAGAGGAACATGTGGCCTTATTTTGGTAACTCGACTGTTGCAAATGAACTAATTGTTATCTTCATCTGGGGCTGAAGGTAAATCTTATAACTTATTATAATCTCAGCCTTTCAAGTTGAATGTTGTAATCCATTTACAGCAATAAAATTGAAGGTTATAATAATAATAATAATAAATGCTTGATACATGGCCGAGTCTCTTCTCTTCCGCGTCAATTGGCCATAGTAGCATAGATCTGGTTTCTTTCATGTCTTAGCCTATCCAGTTCAGCATGAGCATGCGCATCTCCTCTTCGGCCTGCCATGCTTTTTTCCAACTCCGCTATTTTCTTCTCTATGCTCGTCACCTAATTCAAACAAAGTGTTTGACAATTGATACCGGAGAAAGAGGGAAAGTTATTTCATATTAGAAGGAAAGATTAATGAGACGGACATACCAACCTTTCTTTGTGGCCATCTTTGTACTCCATATTTCCTGCATACCTTTTTAATAACACTGGCACACACTGATAATTCTTTAGCAGCTTCTTGTATCGGCCGGTAGAAATGGCCACTCAAATCTTTCAGCTGCAAATTCGCTGTTCGTTTCCTCTGAGCCGGCAAATACATGAAAAAAGAAATCTTCAGACAAAAAAAGAAGCAATTACCAATTCGTGGGGGCTGGGGCAGAAGCAGAGTAAATCAAACAGCCTATGCAGCTTTCACCAATTCAGGAGAAGTGATGTTTGACCTGTGTGGCGACCCTACTTTGAACCAGTCCATCTCTGCAACTTTGACCAGTTGTACGTAAAATAACCTGTGGGACGAGTCTGCTCTGAGCGAGTCCTGCGCCATTGCTTTCGGTGTCTCTCTGACTCTGAATGTGTTTCACGCCACTATTTCCTGCTTCTGGAGTTGGAATGACTGGTGTAGGAGCCCCCCTCTGTGCAAGTCTAATGCGACTGCTTTTTGTGTTTGGAATTGGATTGCCCATTTGACTTACGCCTGTAAGAAACTCCAACAATAGATAGGCAATGAGTAAACAGTGATTCGAGACGCATTAATTGGAGAGAAAGTCAGTAATTATACTGAGAGTAGTCACTAGTCAATACAATACAGTAACAGCTAGCTACTGGAACTTCCTTCCATATACCTGATTCATTTTGAACTGCTGGGTCAACAAATTCACCCATGTTTGCATTCGCTTTCCATGGTTGATGAATTAATTCATCGGTGCTAGCATTGGCATCCCAATTCTGTCCCACAGATAAAGCATCGTAGAAAGCCGATAACGGATCTTGCAACATAAGACATCCTTCCCTTCTTCGCTGTTGGCAATACTGCATCAGGTACTGCTTCACGCTTTGTGTAGTTTGTGCACTGAAACTGCGGAGCCATGAAAGGAAAATAGATGTCACGATAATACAGGTGTCCTGGGTTGAAATTTCTGTTCATTATTTCAGTCGTCTGACGGTGTTAATAAGGGGTTCATGAAGATTTAATTCTAGGCATGAAACTCTTCAAATGCGAATCACGAAAATATGAATAAGTGAAGAGATCCTCACTCAATCATACGATACTCCGTGTTTGGTCGTGCCAGCATGTTGATACCATATCGGATCTCGAGAACAGCATGGAAAATTACACCAACTCTTCCATGAACCTCAAGTCTTGTAGCTTTATTGCCTGCAAAATAGATAGTTCAACGATCAACTATGTAAGCTAAGTTGTACAGAGATGATGAATGGAATTCTGATTAGTACTGCATTAAATATTCCGTCACTGATCCACCCATTAAAGCCTAATTCTTTGCGTGGTAATTTCGGCCTAATTAAACTAAAGGAAATTATTCCCACATGAATGTACCGTTTGTATGTCGTATATCTCTGATCACTTGACAACAGGTGCAACTAAATGGAACAGGTGCCGGCGGCCAAACTGAAAGGTTTATGGTATCCTGGGAAACCACATTCATATATTCAGGAAACTCCAATTCCCCATTTGGGTTTACCGGTTCCTGGTTGAAATTTGTAGGTTCCACAAGAGAGTCACTGTTATCTCGCAATGGTGGAACGTTTTGTGAATTAGAAGGGCACGCGATTTCATTACTTGATCCGGGAATTGACGCAGAGATGGGTTCAGGTGGTGGTTCTACTGGTGTTTGTGTTGGTGGTTGCAGTACTTCGTCCAAGGTTGGAGTCTGAGGATTGAAGTGGTTCAGGAGCCAACGGACATCGTCTTCCGGAGATGGATTGTGAATTGGCCCTTCATTTAGAAATAGTGATACGATATCATCCATGGGTAACGGTGAAGGTAGTCGATGGATGATCTCCGGAGTTCAGTCTGTTCCAGTGTCTCCGGCGCTGCGGCACCTGGTCTGAACCAAGCGCCGCCGATCGGAGTAGACCGGGCTGGAAACCCAAGCACCAATGATGTGGGCGCTTGAGAAGGAATTTCAAGGATTTTTTATGTGTAAGAAAGGCGGGAGGTAGTTTTTAGCCGTTGCCTGGCCGACGGTTGCGTCTTCTTACTAAAGAGTACAGACTACAAACGGTTCGGTTGAAAAGCCGAAACTTCAAGCCGGTCGGTTGACAAGGAGAGGGTCCCACCCTATTGGACAAATGGAAACCATTCGATTTATCCAATCAATATATTGAACGGTTGACATTGAATCAGGTCAAGAAAAGTATATAGATCTGATGTTTGTTTAGGGTATTGGGTAAATACAAGGACCCCCGGTATTACGGACCCCTTACACATGTTTTTTTTCGACAAAGACCCTCTATCTTTGGCCGTTAGACAAAAATTTTCTAAATAATCAAACTACCCCTTTATAATTAATTTTACAGGAAAAATTAACGGTTAGTACCCTCTTTTTTGGGTTTAGTGCAACTTTGGTCTCTAAACTTTAAAACGTGACAATTCAGTATTCGTATTTTTAAGATGTGTCAATTTAGTATATATTGTTAATTAGCCGTTAAGTAGCATTTGAAAAGACAAATATCTTTCGAGTGTCATCTAATTTTCTTTATCAACCATCCAAACTTTGATAAAAAATGATCAGTCTCAAATCCTTTTTTCTATTCAAGAAAGTTGGTCGATGACCCCAACTTTCTTGAATAGAATAGGTAAGGATTTGGGACTGTTCATTTTTTGTCAACGCTTGAATGGTTATTAAAGAAAATTAAATGACATTCGAAGGGCATTTGTGTCTTTTCAAA